GTGTGTGTGTGTGTGTGTGTGTGTGTGTGTGTGTGTGTTACTGTGTACATATTTGCCAACCTTAGTTTCATAATCGCCTTCAGCTAAAGAGACAAACGCCAAGGGTATATACCGTAGGTGTGTATAGTTTGATTAGCGAGGTTTGACTGACAACACGGTTAAGTAATCAGAGGATCGGTTTGTTGACAGTCGGACAAAAGAGACTGACACAGGCCACAGAGAGTGCACATACGTATATGTAAACACGCATGCATAGCTATTCTATAACCCACAGAGAGAGAAGAGACGCATTCATCTATGCATCTCAATGTCTCATTCACGTGGCGGCGAGATAAAAAAAAAATACAAATTTTCCATTACCAGCTTAGAGGCATTTCACACACAGACACTCACTGTCATATGTACACACGTGCGTGCAAACACACACTCCCCTCCCTGCACATGCAATATATACACACGCACACACATCCTGCTCAGGCTGTCAGCAAGCAATGGAAAGATAACAACTCTCTTCTCGCCTCTTTGTCACGCAAACACGCCACTCGATAGATCAGGTGTCATGAAGAGAGAGAAGCTTGGTGGGGGGGGAGGGGGAGACGGACTGTCAAAGCACTAAAAAATAGGACTAAATGCAGCTGGATCACACACTGTGGAGATGCGACAGGTTTGTTATTGAAGCAGAGGAAAGTGATGCATAAATTGGGAGAGTAGATTAAGATAGATGCTTTCAGCCGGACACATGCTGCGAGGAGGGAGAGACAGTGATGAGAAATGATGTAGAGCAGGTTGCTCTGCCCGTCTGTCACGTGAAATGTGGTAAATTCTAATGTGTAAAAGACACAAGTCCGGCTTGGACTACATGACAGAGCTGTCCAATATATTTTAATATGAAGAGCCTTAATCAACAGACCAGAAGCCGGTTTATTAGGTTCAGCTAGCTAAACCTAATGCTGTATTTGAGGTGTCTCCAATATTTAGTCTTCCCTCATTGATACGTGGGTCAATGACATGACGTCCATATTTTAGTGTCCGAGTCCATTATTTCCTTTTAAAATAATTGTATCAATTCATGACATTATGTCATTTCATTCAATAAAAGCTATTGAGTTTGAATTCATTTTCAGTACATTCAAATAATATTCATTCTTTTATGTTTTGGCATCTCAAACCCTGAAAATGTCCGGCGGCGCCCCCGTCTGAGCAAATGTACAGACAAAGAAAACTGAACATGATTACCATGATACTATGAAATATTTACTACTTTAACTTCAATTGAGACTGTTGACAAAAACTCTTTTTTGTATTTGAAGTAAAAATGCAAATATTCAGCATAAATCCTGTTATTATTAATGTTGTCAACTGCTAAATGTCAGGTGGTGCAACCAGGTAAAACATTAATTTTGTGCAATAAATAATAGGTTAAAGTGACCAAATAGTTGATAACTATTAGGTGAATAACTATTCTATTCCATGTATTCATTTGTACATTTGTATCATTATTCTTCTCAGTTTAAATGTAAAATCGAAGGCTTAAGATACCAAAAACATGGACAACAGAATGCAATAATCTTAATTTGTTGTAAATGCAAAAACCATTATACCCTTCATGAAGAACAGGTTTATTATTATATTATAAGTGTGTCATTAGTTTTCAGTGTACATAATAAAAACATAAGAGAGAAGGTAAATACCTTCTGAACAGTAACAGCGGGAAAATATAGCCGAGAATGCCATCACAATAACAGTAATTGTTGATGTTTTAAGTATTTTCTATTATCTATAGAAGCAGTAATATAGTACATTATACTCATAATGGTCAAATGTTCTGTCAATATTCACCATATATGTATTGACTTTCAGTGGAAATGTATCATATGACGTTATTGTTTTAAAAATGAATGCTTTTGAGCAAACTATAATTAAAAACTAATAAAACAAGTAATTGATGTTTTTGTTTTACGTGAGAAGAGCTGAATATCACTTGACTTAGCTGAAAAAGAGAATGTATCGATGTCGTTCATCTTTTTTTATATTAATAGAAAATGAAAGCACTTTGTACAAACATCCAACCCAGTAACATATTAAGACATCAATCATGCTGAATGGCCCTGCCAACACTTAGCACTTAAGTCATTAGACAATAGAAAATGCACATCCTCCATGAAAGTAAGGAGGAGAGAGAGTTTTCCAACAGAGATGAAATATAATTTTTGAAGTGGGCAATATCAATTTAAAGATACACTGCTATTTACATTAAAGTCTGTGATTTAGAGTCTAACTTTTGCCTCTCATAGTAATGACTCATTCTATAATGTATGTACCAAGTGATTCAAACGAGAGGATTTGTCCACAAGCATCTTGTTAGCTAACAATTCAAAGTTAAAACGTCCCATCTATTCAATCTTCCAGGTTGTCTATACCAGAGCCAGGAGTGCCGGCTGGTGATTCACTACGAACAGGGCTTCTCTGTGCTGGCTGACCCCAAACTGGGAGACGGGGACAATGGGGAGGAGAGAGGAGCTCACACACCCAACAGGCCCCGGGTGCTCCTGTCCTACCCCTACGAAAAACTAAAGATGTCCTCGGATGACGGAGTTCGCATGCTCTTCCTTGAATTTGGAGGGAAGGAGGGGGAGATTGTGAGTGTTTTTCAAGCATTGTGTTTTGACACACACCATGTTACAAGATGTGCTCTGATAGGAACTCTGTTGTTCACGGTCAACTGAAACTCCATTTAGTTCTGTGTATAAATAGTCAAACACAGGTGATGTGAAATCATGTGAAGTAATGCGAGTAGTTCTCTTTAGACTCACTAATGTTAAACAAGCACACAGGTAGAAAACCACCATAGAAAAGGCTGATTTGCTATTTTTCTACTAACACGCAACTTTTTAAGATTTATTTAAACCCACGTAGCGTAATCTTAAACTTCAGTGTTAAATAGACGTGTTTTGATCATTCGCGGCCTATTGTGTAAAAGTATAGGGGGCAGGGTTAACACACATCAGTGAAACAGGTCTGAGACCAATGATTGTGACGGTTTGTGAGTTTTGCCATTGTACATGATTCTGTTTAGAAGTTATAGGCCTTGTTGTTATAGGCGATTCTCTCTAAATGCCACACCTGTTTTATGCAACTTATATGAACACACACACATGACCTCCATGCCCATTTCAGCCTCTTAAGGAGAAAACTGTGGCCGCCAAAGGGTGGGGTAATTTTTGTGAACCAACCGAGTGAGCAATTGAGCTGCTGGTCGCAGCTAAAAACAATCTTCAATATCAAGCTTACTTTGCTGTGGTCGTGTTCATGCCTACTCTCAGGGGGTTTAAGGAGGTCTTCTGAGAAATGAAGCCCAACACCAACGAGTACAAGTCCATGAGACGGGCAGAGGGAAAGTGGAACAGCTGAAAGTAAATTACAGCACTTCATCATAAAATAAAGAACTTCACACATACGTAGGTGTTTTTCTTTAGCAATAGCCTGCCTGCCACTAACTGTAAGAGTTTTAATCTGTTTACACCACTCAACAGCTCCCTGTGTGGTGTTTCAGTGCCGCCTTCAAAGTTATCGATGTGTGTACCTGAAAGTACTCACACTCTCACTACTCAATATATGATTTACTGCTGATGTTCAGTTATTAGCCTCTTGGATCTTATTTGACAATACTGATATAAATATTAATGTTGGTGTCTGGAGGATGAGCTCCCCCC